CAAAAAAATTTAAGTGTGGCACCAATAGGCAATAAGATGAGAGATAGTCAACTTAAGTGGGTTGGCCATGTGTGGCGCAGACCCAGTACAACACCTGTTAGGAGGTGTGAGTTAATTCAAGTGGAAGGATTGAAAAGGGCAAGGGGTAGGCCCAAAAAGACATGATTGGAGTAGTCTGAAAATATATGGGGACTAATGGCCTCACTGAAAGTATGGCCTTAAATTGAACAGAATGGCGAACCAAGATTCGTGTAGCTTACCCCAATTAATTGGGAAAAGGTTGTGATGATGATGATGATGTATAAGACATATAGAGATTTTAACAAACTATAAGTGCAAAATCAAGCTACTGTATTTTTAAGTAACAATAAAAAAGAATGAGAGGTTAACATTCATGGATCTACTAACAATCAAACAACAAGAGACCAATTTCAAGGCAAAAACAAGAAGAAAGAATCTCTGAATTAGAAAAGCTAGTGCCGTTTTAACTAAACATACAAAAGGAAATGATTGTTTCAAATATTTACATAACCGATTTCCAATACTAACAGTATATTGTATAAAAGTTCACCGGGATGGTTAGCAAATTATAAATTACAACAGATTTCCAAAGGAAATCAGACAAATTGAAAACATATAGTTCATATGATCCCACAAATAAATTACAAATTGAACACCTATCTAAGAGATTTCCAAATAAAGAGTACACAACATTAAAAAATTACTGAGAAGCATGACATTTAGCAAATGATCAATTACAACCGCTCTCTCAAAAAAATCAACAAAAGCAAAAGCAAATAACGAAAAAAAAAAAAAATTGTGCACGTAAAAGAAAACATATTGTACAGGACGTTGAAAATCGAACAAATGATAGGTGCAAAATTAAGCTACTGCATTCTCAAGTAAAAATAAAAAAGCATGAGAGGTTGATATGCATGGATCTACTAACGATCAAACAACAAGAGACCCAAGGTGAAAACAATAATAAAGAGTCTCTGAATTAGAAAAGCTAGTGTTGTTTTAAGTAAGGGAAAAGTTTATATAGATCTGAGGCTCTAAACAATCAAATTTGAGCCTACCTCAAAAATTTCATTAGAAGATGTTGTTTTGATTCCCAAATATCTTCAAATTCATCATCTCGACATCAAGATCCATGGACATGAGAAAAAAATGGATTGCCAGTTTTTAAAATAGTGTATTTTGTAACGCATTTTTGGACCGTCAATTTTCAAGATATCATAGATATGTCGATCTACACTATTGTTGAAGCTTTGAACTTCATAAATAGATATCAAAATATATTTTAAAGCTATTACAAAGATTTCCAATATTGAAACCACATTTCTTGACGCTATTTGGAGGTAGGCTCTAATTTGATTGTTTAGAGCCTAGGCTCTATACAAACCGTACCCATTAAGTAAACACACAAAAGGGAATGATGGTTCCACAAATTTAAAAACCCTAACTAAAAAACATATGAAGAGTAACAAAATCAATGCTGATTCAAATGCGCTCACAAAATAAACAATGATTTCACAAGCTCAAAGCCCCAATTTTTTATCCATTTAAAAAAATAGCCAAACCCCGACAGGCCGCTTCAAGATCTAGGCATGTGCATCTAATTTCAGCACAGTCTCCACATATTTCACAAATGAACTGTTCATTTCTCCAATATTATAAGAATCAAACAAGAAGTTAAGTCTCTCTCCTCGATTCAGCGCCAAAAAACAAGGATAGAAACAACTATCATGATAAACAAAAAAGCGAAGTAAAAATTTGAGTCACATACGCTTTCCTCCACCAAGGACCTTGTGCACAGGTTTCTGCCTTCCAAACAAGCGATTAATCTTCGAGGAAATGGAAGATTTCTCATCATCTGAATCCGAAGATGACGATGATCCATCATCATGATGAAATGTCTCAGTTATCTTGTCCATCACGGACTCCACCACCGAACCAGAGTCCTCCTTGTGCTCCGTCATGACTGCACCAAACCCCAAGGCCACTTCAGAACCAAAGCCTAACCGAATTTCACAAAAAAAACGTGCGAATAGTTAGAGAAACAGAGACATAATATAGAGGGAGAACGAAGATCTATACAGCGAGAGAGTTGATCGCAAACCACAGCGTCCAGTACACAACTGAGAGTACCTCAGAGAGTATAGAGAGAGAAAGTAGCATCTACAGGATCCAAACCAGACTTTCCAGAGAGAGAGAGAGTGTATCGAAGGAGAAAGGATCAAAATCAGAGTGTATTACCTTAGAGAGAAACTGATGAGAATACCTAAGAGAGAGAATCGCAAAAGAGCCTTGCGGAGAGTAGAGAGAGAACCAGAGCGCACAGGCTAAGAGAACCTTCCAGAGATTGTAGACGATGACCGGAATACAGGAAAGCAAGACAGAAGAACCCTAGATAAAAGAAGAGTACCTTAGAAAGAGAGGTGGGGATTTTCTAGAGAGAGAGGTGAGGAGTTTCTAGAGAGAGAGAGTACCTTAAAGAGAGAGCTTGAACAGAGAGAACCAGAGACGAGCGAAAATTGTGTAGCTTACGAAAAAGACGGCAAAACCCCGGCAAAACCCCCTTCTTCTTCCAGGTCTTGTGGCACAAAACCCAACTTAAAAGCAGGGTTCAGATCTCACTAAATAAACCCGAACCAAAATCGACCGTCCAATTATTCCGAGCCTCTAAGCGACTCAATCCGAGCCTCAGGTGCGGATTGCACGATGGCCAAAGCTTTGTTCTCTCCGAACCCAACGGCGTCAGAACTTCTGAACGCCGTCAACGGTCCGTTACTTTACACGTGTTCGGTATTTATTGGTGGACGAGATTCAGAATAATGGGGAGCCTAGGTCCGCGTGGTATCAACTGCTCGACCTAAATGAGAGGGTCGTTACCGACACGTGTCACGTCGTTCGGTGGTAGACGTACGAGCGTTGTTGACACGTGTGGAGCGATTCAATCGGCTATGTCCAAATGGGTCCCACATTCGTAATCGACCACAAGGAGTCCGCATCGTGGCGACACGTCGCCAAGTTTTCGTGCCAGAAAAAGACAGAAATACCCAAGGAAATGATCACAATGACTAAAATGCGTGACTAGAGTGGATGTGATCTTGATTTATTGGGGATGCGGTTTGTATCGAGCCTAGGTTGCCTATTTTCAAATAGTATCGGGAAATATGATTTTATTTTGGAAGATTTTTGTTATTACTTTAAAAAGTATTTTTATATTTATTTATAAAGTTTAAAGCTTCAAAAATAACATTAAATGGACATATTTATGAAAATTTAAAAACCTTAAACATTGACAGTTCAAAAATATATTACAAAATATATTATTACCAAAACTTGAAATTTTTTTTTTTTCATATATATGCATCTTGATGTCGAAATGATTAATTTGACGATATTTGGAGATCAAAACAACCTCTTTTGATGAAATTTTTGATGTAGATTCAAATATGATTGTTTAGATCCTCGGCTCTATATAAACTTTTCCCTTTGTGGTTGGCATAAAACTCCAAATTTTTTGAATTGTATAATATATACTTAGGGAAAAAGTTTATTGCATTCTAAAAATGTAGACCTAAGGATACACCTAAAAAATTAATAAGAAATTGTTTTTTTTTATATTGAAAAATCTTTTAAAAGATCATTTCGACATCGAGATGTATCAATATATATATATGATTTTGAGTCTCATAAATAGTGCTTCTTGCAACAAATTTTCTAGACCATCAATTATCAATATTTTCATATATTTATATATCTACTGATTTTATAATTTTTAAAATTTAAAATTTGATAATTAGAGATGAAAATAGACTACCAGATAATCTTAAAAAAATTACACCAAAATTACATCTTATAATAAAATTTGGAGGTGCTCTTAATTGGATTGTTGGATTGTTCCATTGCATCTTTTTTGGGCGCATGATGCATTTGATGATTTCGAGTTTAAAAACGAAAAAAAAAAAAAATACATAAAACAAGGTGAATATGAGAGGTCTGGGTCTCTGATTCTAAAGGCATCAACAAGCCATCAATCAAATCCGTTCTTGCTAAGCAATTCCCAATCTGAATGGTTAATTTTAAACCTTGGGGATACGAATTGTATAGCTCATTTAATTTTTTTTAATTTTGTTTAACTCAAATTTTTTTTTTATCTAATTCATAAAAAACGGTTTTTTTACCCGTAATAGAAATAAAACTCAAGATGTCACGTTGTAGCACCCCGTTACCCAACCATTTATTAGATCCATCCTTTTTTAACTCAAATCTTTTCGCTCTGTCAATAATTTCTTGTTCGTTTATGTGGTGAGAGATATCTCTCTCTAGAAGTTCATATTTCGCATGAGTTCGTGTTGGCATGCAAGGTTTCTCTCTCTGGAAATCACATGCCATGCATGACCCACCTCGTTTGCCTTTGATGCTAAGCTTTCGAGCAAATACTTTTTTGCACGAGGGTTTGCCTTGTGAGTTGTAAGCACGCAGTCCGTATCATTTTTTATTATGCTTTTGGTTTTTTACTTTCTTTATATATATATATATATTTCTCTCCCTTTTGAATGAAGAAAATTTTTTCCCATGTATTATTCTATATATAAGTTGTCCACTGGCCAAGGCCCTATTAATTGTTTATTGTTTTTTTAGCATTTTTTTAATCAACAAGATACACTACTTTGTATTCTTCCTATTGCCGGTTTCTTATAATTCTATTTTTAGGTGCAAGTGATTTCATGGCATTTTCTTTGTTTTCCATATAGAATCATTATGCTCCTTGTTTTGGGAACCATGCACACTGGTTTATGCACAATGTCTTCTCTCCTCTCTTCCTCATTTTTCTTCTTGTGCCTTTCTCTTTTCAAAGTTTAGGAAGCATTCTAGTTAGGGTGTGGTTTGTATAAGGCCGGAGGCCCTGAACAATCAAAGTAAGGCGCACCTTCAAATAATGTTGAAAGATGTTGTTTCAATAGTGAAAATTGTTGTGATGACTTGAAAATTTATTTTCATATCTAATTATAAAATTTAAAGTTTAAAAAATAGTACAGATTGAACAGATCTATGAATACTTGAAAAAATTGAAAATTGACGGTCTGAAAATTCATTACAAGATGTGCTATTTCCAATACTCACAATCCATTTTTTCTCATGTCTATACATTTTGAGGTCGAGATAATCAATTTAAGGATTTTATAGCATCGAAATAACATCTTTTAGTGAACTTTTGAGATGCACCTTAATTTGATTGTTTAGGGCCTTGCCCTTATATAAACTTTTTCCTTCTAGTTACGGGCGGGCTTGAGAATCATTGTTATCATTTTTGTTAAAAAAGAAGAAGAGATGATATCATCATCATCAAAGCTTTTTTTCTATCTATTAAGGGTTGTCTAGACGAATCTTAGTAAGTCTTTCTATTCTATCAAGGGTCGTACCTTCAGTGAGGTCATAAGTCTTTATCTTTTCTTATTACTTTAAACCATGTCTTTTTGGGTATACTCTTGTTATTTTTCATTCTTTCACTTAAACTAATACACACCTCCTAACATGTACTGTATTGAGTTTGCATTGCACATGGCCAAGCCATCTAAGTTGGGAAGGCTTGGCTGTTTTTTTTTTTAAACGAATTTTGGAGAATTAAGAGGGAACTTATCAACAATGCACCAGTTAGAAAATGATATCTCCCTAATGATATTTTACTATTCACTAGTTGAATATTGTTTCACACAAAGAACTGCATCATGAGATATTATTATATAGTGTTCATTAAAAATTCGTTGAGCATCACAATTTGTCCCTCGCTAGATTTGCATATGTTTTTTTAATTTTTTGAAAATTTATTAAAATACCCATCAAAGATGCACTATTTAGCATTTGACACTTTTGGCGCTTTTAAGACTAATGAGGGCATTTGAAATTAAATCAAACGATATAAGTACAATGTTGAAAGTTCATTTCACATAGGTATTTGATTTTTTTTAGTGTCTTAAAACCCTGATTGACTCGGTCACAAGCTAAGTCTTTCAAATTGGCCGAGCCTGGACCAAATAACAAAGAAATATAATAAGAAGATAAAAAACTTTGGGAGTTGGGTAACTCCAGGGTTTCTATAGATTTGGATTGACCATCCACCGATCATGAATTGATTCAATGTCTTTTAAATCACTAATTCTAGTAACTTATGATACTTGTATTATTTTGTTTATTATGCTACATTGTTCTAAAGCCTGGGGATTTCATATTGGAATGTCGTTTCATATAGGAATCAGTTAATGACCGAATCGGTTCTAGAATGATATAGGTCCCGGTTGAGTTTCACCCAAAAATCCCCTTTTAATTATTTTATTTTTTAAAATTTATTTAATATCTTTCCGTTTAACCTTACACCAACCCCCACATAAAAAAAAAAAAATCCAAATTTTTTATTTAATCTTATTTATTTTAATATCTAAACGTTTTAGGTCACTGAACCTAGACCCGTTCTTGATCACCAATTGAGGATACGCGGATGAACCATCCGACCCATCAGGTGTCCGCTGTCGACATCAAAATGGCCGGTGCATCTCATTCCCTCACCGCGTTACTTAACGGAAGGGACGATCTGTTGACAATGATCTGCTCATGTTTCTTGGGCCATGTTTAAAACTATAACTATTCTTTACTCTCTTCTGTTTTTTAATACCATTTTCCATATTTAAGTGTGATTCACGTCAAATGTGGCTACAAGCCAATCCATTGGAATTCCCCTCAAAACTTTTATAAAATAATATAAAATGATTTTACGGATTTCAAAAGGACCCAATAAAGACTCAGTATTATTTTAAGGGTGAGGTTTGTATGAGGTGTCAACCTTAAACCATTGCAGTACGGTATACCTCAAAACTTTATTGAAAAGAAGTTTCGGTGCCACAAAGCCTTGATATGAAAATCTATTGTCGACTCAAGTTATGTAAATTATGAAAATCTATTGTTAACCCAAGTTATGAACTTTACGGTTTAAAAAATAGTGACGTTCAGGCAAATATATAGACATTTGAAAATGGATGATCCATATATAATGTATTAGAAAATAAACTATTTGTAAGACTATGAATCTATTTTTTTCATGTTTATAAATCTCAAGGTCGAAATTAAAAATTTTAGGGTTTTTTAGCATAAAAACAACTTTTTTTAGTGGGTTTTTTTACGTGAAACTTATAAAAGATTGACACCTTATATAAACTTTAAGGTCAAAATAACATCAAGTGTCACCAATCACTCGCTAGAATAATATATAATCCTTATCTCCTAAAATTTGTTCTCATTGCAGTTATTGGATAATGTTGTTGTGGTGTCCCTTTCAGATACGCCACCTCAATGGATTGAGGACCCTACCTTGATTCTAAACCACAGTGTTTACTTAAAAGGGCAAAAAAATTAAATCGCAAGGACGTCTACCACAAAGTACGCGAAAATTATCTACAGTTCAAATATGAAATATAATTGT